AGAGAGAGAGAGAGAGAGAGAGAGAGAGAGAGAGAGAGTTCTTCTTTTTCGTCTTCTAAGTCCACCATCTCTCCCTCACCCTCTCGCTTCCTAACTTCTCAGTACCTGCAGACTACGAGAGAGAGAGAGATTGGTGACTTTGGGACTTGATGACATTTGGATCCAGACTCGACGTTGGGATTCAGACATTTGACGAGGGATTATTTGGGACCTGTACCGAAGACTTGGTGTTGATGACATTCCCATCTTCCCCTCTTCTTCGTCTAACCCCCCTCTTCTTCGTCTGTATATGGTTGGGGACTGGCGCATTCTTCCTGTGTGAGCGCCGGGCCCCTTCACACCATGGGATGATGATGATGTATGTTTGGGCTGCATTGCAACATTGATTATTCTTATCATTGGTATTTTAGCCTTCCACTGTGCTATCTTGTACTATGTGAGAGAGGCCGGTTCTTGTTCTGGTCTGTACCATTACGGTATGCGACACTAACACTCCCAGCAACATTAAGGGCAGCAAGGAAGTCTGATTCCTCCTGCTCAGGAAATTGACACTGTGGGTAATATGGAAGCACAAATGCATCCGGACAATCGAGAAGCAGAGGTGGCAAAGGAAGAAATGTGGTCTCTACTACTGAGCATGGCAGAGACAGAAATCAGGAGCAGATGGCGGAGAATAGCGACCTCTGTGCAACACAGACCAGAAAGACAAGCAACCAGGAAGCAAACATTCAAGAGAGAATGGCTGCTAAAGGGCAAGGTGGCTACGATAGTAGATAACGCATTGAGATGGAAGAAATGGCACCAGGCTATACCACAATAACTTTTGGGCCCCACCGGGCGGCCTGGCGGAAGGGTCGGAACTGCGATCAACAACAGTACTCAAGGGGGGTACATAGAGAAGGACAATGACAAACAACAGAGCTTGCAGCGGACCCTTTCGCTGTTCTCGCTGTGTAAAGAATGGTCTGACAGGCTCTGAACCGAAGCCTGAGACGAACAAGTGGTCTGGGCAAGCTGACAGCCAATCCTCCTTAGCAGGAGCTATCAATGCTGGTCAGGGTTCCTTCGGCCAGACGGACGGAAGCGTGAGAGGGTACTATTGTGTATTCAATTTTGACTTGCCAGGGGAATAGGAACCAGACTGACGCTGCTAAGCAAGATTCTTGGGCTTTCGAGTGTCTGGTGTTGGCTCGTCACCTCGGGATTTTTCGTAAGAGGAAGTAAGGAGCGTACGGGGGGCATAGTTCTATCAGGAGGCATCCGCTTAAGTGGAGAGGGGTAAGCGGGACAAGGGGATGAAGGCGCCAGGTAAGTGAGCTTTCTTGTCTCAAATTCGACAAGCGAAAGGAAAAAGGTGATGGTAGTGATATTTCAAGGAGTTGGGCGAAGGAAAGATAGGGCAAGCATTGAGCATTAATATTATACATGCGAGAAAGAAAAGAAGGGACAAAACCAATAACTCAAATTCGGATGTTGGAAGGGATAAAAGGGTGTTGTAACTATCCACGGGGCTAGGTGAAGTACTGTTATATGGGGGAGGGGAGAGAAGGAAGAAGCATCATCAACAACTTTGTATCTCCTGGAGGAATCGGAAAGGACGAAGGGAGGGGAGAGACGAAAAAAACATCATCAGCAGCATCAACAACATTGTATCTCCTAGAGGAATTGGACAGGAAGAAGGAACTCTAAGGGAACATAACAAAAACATGGCTATATCATACTCATCGGTTGCTCAGAGGGCATTGAGTGAGAGGGAGAAGCAGGACTTCACTCAAAAGCAGGATGGGTTGTCAGGGAAGCAATCATCTCAGTCGACATCTAAATCAGGCACAAACAAAAAAGTGGGTGAATCCAAACCTTGTACGTTGGGTCAAAAAGCAATGGAATTCTTGCTTGAGAAAACGCAAATCAAGGCAGACATCAAAGTCATGAAAGAGGTAATCAAGGGAGAAGGAGGGAAGGAGGAAGAAGTAGAGGTGTGGGAATACCCAGAGGAGGACATCCAGTCGTTAAATGAATTATATGAGAAGCACGCAGTCCTCTTCAACTTCTCGGGAAGAAGCAAGGACCTATCTCTTAATGAGAAGAGAAGATGGGTGAGAGATAGGCTATGGGCCATGGAAAGCATTCCGGGAAGGGAACCTGATGTCTCGTACCATAAGAGGGGAAGGTTTGCAATAATGATTGTCTGTGTGGATCCAACTTATGCCCAGTATCTGTTATCAATTGGATAACTAAAATGTAAGGGGGCAGTGGTCACCATCCAGGCTTGGAAACCTCCGCGACCCCCACAGGCTGAGGCATCGAGGCATAGACAATCAATGATGAAAAACCATTTTTGGGTCCAATTTGATAATTTGTCAGAGGGGGTGCATAGCTTTGTTAAGAGGAGACAAGAAGAGGAATTTCCGAACAATCCAATCATTGATTGGCTCCCTGCAAATCCAGATTTCCTCGCGCCAAACCATGACTCTCGGGTGGCATGTCTGGAGGTTAAATCGGGGGGCCCGCCGAAGTTCCCTGACCAATGGATTTTCCGAAAAAGTGGGCAGAGGATTACTGTTTTTATCTCGTCCAAAACCAATCCCTTCTGCTTTAAGTGTAGGGGAAGGGGGCATTGGGGATCCTTCTGTCCGCAGGGGGGGCAAGTGGAAAGCAGGTGCCTCTGAGACAATCAATGCTGCAGGAATGTGAGAGTAAACCAGGAGTGTGGTACATTAACTTGCCACAATACAGGGGGTGGATATTTTATGATAACTTGGACAACCCCAAGTGGGTATGGGTGCTGAAGAAAGACCCTACGATCAAACCAAATATATACCCCCCCTACGACAGCAGATGGAGGCACGCCAGAGCAAAGAGAATGGAGGACAAGGAAACGGGGTATATCACTATACCAATGTTGGACAATACGAGATTGAAGCTCATGACTGACCTACACACGGTAGGGAAAAATGCAGAAATAGCTTTTTTGGAGAATGCAGCGGCCAGGCCGCAGCAGCAGGAACAACAAGGGGGTAATGAAGAGGTTACAGGGAAAACAGGGGAAGAACATGGGGAAAACATGGAGTGCGGTGAGGAGGAGGGGAAGGGTACAGGCGGAGGAAGCCAACCTTTGAAGAGGAAGGAGTCGTCGAGGGGAACGGATGAGTCAAAGGAACAGGAGGGGACGACACAACAAGGGAAAAGACAGCACAAGAGTACATCAGCAGAGGGGAGCACAGATGAAGGACAAGAGGAAGGAACCACGCATGATACAGCGACGTCAGGGAGCATTAGTCAGGGGGGAGAAGATAAGGAAGTATCTCAGGGTCCAGTCACACCATTGGAATTTGATAGGGAAAACGAGGAAAGAAGGAGACAAATGCGAAATGCAGAAAACATGACGGAAAAGGAAATTCTGCAGGCGGACGAAGATCAGAGGGATGGTCCAGAGGACATGGATTCGTCAGAAGAAGGGGAGGAGCAGGAGGGGTCAGAGGAAGAAGACTTGTCCTTAGAACAGTGGATTCAGGAAGTTGAGCAGTTGGAATGGGGGAGGAAGATCGAGTGTGAGATCAGGCTGGCTCATCACAAACATTTGAGGAATCTCAAACAGGCAACACAGGTGGCAGAGGACATCACCTCAAAGAATAGATTTGAGTTACTGAGGCGGGAAGGGGAAATCAATGAATTCTATGCTGCTCAGTATGCAACTAAGGCTCGTCCAGTCAAGGATGACATTCACATCCAGCAAGAGGAATACGCAAAGATATTTCAATGGCCAAAGACATATCACAACAAAGAAGGAAAGGGGGAAAGCAAGAAAAGGAAGGCACGGAGGGAGGAAGAACAAAGTAGCAGTGTGGGGCTGGGGGAAGGTTCGCAGGAGGGTCCGATGAAGGGGTGAGAAATAGAAGATGGGGGAGGATGTGGAGGATGAAAAGCAGGTATTGAGGAGACAGGCAGCGATATTGGTGGGCTCCGACAGTCAGTAATCATTCGACAAGAGTTGCCATAATTCAAAACAAAAGATCAGCAGCAGCAAGCAACATACGCATTAATGACACGTCGGTAGATGAAGTGGAAGGAAGATGGGTAAAAGTCAACTTCGAGCTTCACGAGGAGCCTTATACTTTGATTTCAGTATATTGTCCGAACGCTTTTCAGCAGAGGGTAGAGTTTATAAACAATCTCCAAGAAATGTTGGAGGCAAATAGACACCTAATAATATTAGGTGATTGGAACGCCACTTTAGACCCTAGATTAGATAGATTATCGGGAGGATTCAGATCTGGAGATGAGGGACTGTCTGAGGAGGCTTTACCTATTCATAGGTTGATGACTAGTACAGACCTCGTAGACCCCTACAGGCTCCTCTTTCCGGAAGAAAGGCAGTTCGCTTATTTAAAGAGGAACCGCAGTCAGCATGTGTCGGCTTCACGAATAGATTACTATTTAACGTCACCTGGTATAATAGGCATGATACATTCGGTAAGTATTGGGAACTTGCCATATGGGATGGGATTAGATCACAAACCGGTTCACTTGAACTTGGTAACAGATAAGCAGGTCAAAAGAGGTAAGGGGTTCTACAAACTAAATAACTCCTTGTTGAGAAGGCAGGAAATAAGGTAGGCGGTGCTTCCGGTGTGTCAAGATCATAATCCATATACACAATCGTTTCCAGAATTGTTAGCGACACTTTCCAAAGCCTCAGCAGGGGTTGCCCCGAGATTGGCGGCTAAAAGAAAGGAAAGAGAGCTAGAGCTGCAACAAGTAATAAAGCTAGCAGAGCGCAACATTATTAACTATCCAGGAGATGATGTTTACGAAAGAGCGCTTGAAACGGTAAGGGGGGAAATGACAGAGTGGCAACGATGGAGAGCAAGGGGTCTGCAAATGAGGGCCAGAGTCAGAGAATGGGAGGAGGGGGAACGAATGACAAAATTCTATTTTCAAAAAATAAAATATAGAGGAAGGAATAATCTCATAGCTCAACTTGAGGGTCCAAGAGGAATAACCTCAGACAAAGAAGAAATGTTGGGGGTAGCCTTTGATTTTTACAGCAATTTATACACAAAGAGAGAGGAGGAGTACCCAAAGGAAAGGGTAGTAGAGGCTCGGTCTAAGTTCCTGAACCACCTGCAGACCACGATCTTGCCAGCTCACGCGGCAAGATTGGATGCGCCTTTAACGCAAGAAGAGTTATGGGAAGCATTATGGTCCATGGCCCCAAATAAACTCCCAGGGAAAGATGGGCTTACAAGAGAATTCTGGTTGGAGTTCTGGCCGATACTGGGAGAGGAATACTTGGCCTTTCTAGAGCAAGCATGGCAAGAGGAGGGAATAGGGAAGGAGCCAGCAACAGGATTAGTTACGCTTCTCTATAAGAAGGGAAGTCCGTCGGATATACCCAATTACAGGCCACTAACCTTGTTAACCCTCACGCACAAGATTGTAGCTAAGGTTCTAGCCAATCGCCTATCGACCATTACAGCCAACTGTTTTCATATAGATCAAACGGGTTTTATTCCAGGAAGGTTTAATTTGGATAATGTTATGACTCTAACAGAAACAGTCCGATACATAAGGGATAAGAGAATTAACGCTGCAATATTGTTTTTCGATTTCGAAAAAGCGTATGATCAGGTAAGCTGGCCATTCCTGCAGCAATGCACGAAAAAGATGGGGGTGGGCCCGAACTTTAGGAAATGGATAAGAGTTCTCTACAATCATGCACAGGGACATGTACAGGTTAATGGCCATCTATCCCCGACCTACACAATGTCAAGGTCGGTTAGACAAGGAAATCCTCTCGCTACTCCTATTTTCCTTTTCATAATGGAGGTAGTAGCCTTCTTCCTACGAAAAGACCCATCAATACAGAGACTCATATCACCACCGGATCAGCAAGGACACAGGATAGATCTTCCTACTACAATTTTGTTTGCAGATGACTTAACAGTAATAATTAGAGCTTCGGACTCCTCCTTTCAGGCGCTAACAAGAGCAATGGAGGCCTTCCAGCTCGGGTCAAAAATGAAGGTCAATTGGCAAAAAATAGTGGGGTGGTGGTTGACAGAGCAAGAGTAAGAAAACCCACTCCCCTTCAACAGTCCGGAGGGTCTGCAGTGGATAACACCCCAGGTTCCGCTCAGATACCTAGGGATCAAAATAACAGGAGGAACACATTATTCCATGGCAGCGGATCTAATGTCAAAGATCCTCGCAAAACTAGGAGCATGGTCGGCTATATATACATCAATATACGGGAGGGCACTGATACTCAATGCATCCATTTTCTCTATGATGTGGTATGCTGGGTCAATATGGACTCCACCAAAAGCTACGTCAATCCTATTGAGAAGAAGAGCGGTGGCGTATCTGTGGACAGCTAAACCTCGCACTGACCATTTCATATCTAAGGTTGCTTGGAAGCATGTAACTAGGCCCAAGCAGCAGGGAGGCCTGGGGGTACTGGATCCGGGCTTACAACCGAAAGCGCTTCAAACTAAATGGGTCGTAAAGTTAATTTCGCAACCTAGGTTATCATGGACATCATTAGTGTTAGAAAAGATAAGACAAGTAGCAAGGTATAAAACGCCAAGTAACATGTCGGGGCAGTTCTGGATTATGTGTAGCAATTGGGCAAAGGTAGGTATCAGGGAAGAGAACAATGAAGTACAAGAGGAGGAAGCTCGAAATCCTTCATATTGGGTGCAGCTCATAAAGTTATGGAAGGAGGTCTTCCCTGCAAGAGTTAGAGAGCCTAAAACAAGGGAAGAAGTGCTCAGACAACCATTATTCTGCAATGCACACATTCAAGATGGACAAGGAAAACCGTTGACACTTTCAAGGACAGACACAAGGTGGGGTAGATGGTTGGAGCATGGGGTATGGCAGGTCAAGCACCTCTGGGAAGAAGGGGAAAGGAGATGGAAAACGGTTGCAGAACTGAGGAGACAACTGAAAGGATGTCACAAGTTGCAGAAAAATCTGGGAACGATCATAGAAGCCATACCGCAAGCATGGAAGCAGCTGCTGCTGGTCGGAAAACAATGGGGCATGGGGGATTGGGCCACATGGGAAGATGTAAACGAACCCAAAGAGGTCTTCAGAGTTTGGAGCATGGAAAACTCCAGGCCCGATTGGCTAATACCGGATAAGTACGATATACTTCAGCCGCGCAACACCACGTCCCAACTAGATATGACGACCAAAGCACAGTTGAACATTCTTAAACAGTATTTGACGAAGGTGAGAGTGATAGAGACAAAGGAGTTTACGGTGTACAATTCAACAGTGGCAATTGAGGAACTGGAAGTAGACCCGGCGGAATGGGCATGGAACATCAGAAGTGGTCAACCAAGGATTTCCAGGAGAATAAACATTCTACATTACACCACAAGAATAGGGTACAGGTTGAGGAACCGATCTTATTCCATGACATCGACTCTGCTCAACCGATGGGAGAAGAGAGTGGGGGTCCCCAGAGGTCAATTGCCAAAAATTCCTTGGGCAAACATAGGGACCATAAGGCTGGGTCAGGTTAGGAGTATGCAGTGGCTAATAGCCCATGTTGCGCTCCCAGTGAATGTCTGGCTCAATGAAAGAAGAAGTCATAGGCAGAGGAGTGTGGAAAGTGAGATATGCAGGGTATGCCAAGAAGGAATTCCAGAAACAATGCTGCATTGCCTGCTGGAGTGCGCAGGGGCAGTGGCGATGTGGGACGAAGCTAGAGGGATCTGGAGTCAAGTAGCTGGGATTGCCTTCCCGGGCTCAAAGATCGCATTACTGCTGGGTGTAGGGGTGCCCAAGCAGTGGCAACCCTTTCAGAGGCATATCTTTCAGTTGTTACGCCAATATGGTCTCTGGACCATTTGGAAGCGTCGATGCCAGGCCACAATTGAGGGAACATTAATGCACAGGCAGGAGGCCAGGGAGATTTTCCTCACGCTCACTGAAACGCATCTCAAGGCCCAGTGGAAAAGGGTGAGGCGGCAGGCACGACAACAGCCAGAGCAAGAGGAGGAGATCATGAAGCGATTCAAGCAGAACGTACTAGGACAAGGGGCAGTAGCAAATATTCACGGCGCACAATTGGTGTTTAAATGGAGAGGGAGTGTGGAGGATATCAGGTCAGGAGGATAGGGAGGAATATAGGGTTTAAGAATCGAAAAAAGGATTCAGGGTTTAAAGGGATGTTGTCAGAAGGGAGTAGAGAGACTGTAGAATTCAAGAGAGATGGACAAATAAGGGAGAATGAAAATGAGAAAGGTCAAAGGAGGGGGTAGGGCTAAGAGTTGGAAGGAGGGTTTAGGGTTTAAAGTGACATAGTCAGAGGGGAGCAGGGGGAGTGTAGAGTTCAGGGGAGGTAAGGTAGGAAACCGAATAGGTAACACAGGAGGTGCATGGTAACAAAGGGAGATGCAGCCATAGACTCATGGTAAATGGAGGGCAGAAGGGGAATAGGTAATGTACGGGAATCAAGGTAACATGCAAAAAAAAAAAAAAAAAAAAAAAAAAAAAAAAAAAAAAAGGGAACCGGACTGGAAAATTTATTAGTTCATAGAGATTACCTTTCAGAGAAGCTTCAGAGTTTAGGGATCAGGAATAACACAGGTTGTCTATTTTAGGTTTACGAAAAGAGTGAATCAAGATAGTTGCAAGGAAAATAAGCAACAGCGAGATGACAAATTCCAGATTACATCATCATCACATTGAAAGCCAGATAGTCACACTGTGTCCGGAGATCAGCATTGCACCAATAATACACCAATGGAGGTTCCTAGTACTGAAAACCAATGTCAAGGAGAGGTTCTCCCTCCGCCACAACACAAGAGTCCAGTCCCTTCACACTCCTACTTGGCGCTCAGCGCCCAGCCTACTCCTACACAACTACGATCAGCCTACTAGTAGACAATGAAACTGTTGACATCAGCGGCAACCCGAAGTACTTGAAGATGTCGCCCTTATGCAGACCATCGCCAATACAAGGTATGTGCCCTCACATCATCATCATCATCATCCTTCGCCCTTCCCTGTCCTTACACCCACGCATGTCCTCTCTTACACCCGAAGACCACCCCTGCGCCTCACTGTGAATCCAAGCCCAGCCCGCTATGAAGGCTGGCTATGGCGCTGCCCTCAGCAGCGCCCTGCTTCACCACACGATCGCACGTGCGCAGCCTCTTGCTCCCAGTGCCAGCAGCCAGCCCGCGAGCTATTGCTCCAGCAGCGCTGCCGCCAGCCAGCAAGTGACCGAATTCCACTGCCGGGGGAGAGCTCTTTCCTTTATGGAAAGAGCTGGCCTGCTCGCGCAGCCTCGCTGCACTAGCCTGGGCCCAGAAGCTTCCGGAAGGCCCCAGGATGCTGCCTTTGCTCTGCAGCTACTGGGCCTCGTTCGGTTGGGCCTCCCAACTGTCAGTGTATGAKGCTGCRATTCACGMCCAGGGCCTGCATTCTTTGGAAAGGCCCGGTAGGCCGTGGAAATGTCTTTGTTGCTCGGCCTGTGTTTCTTTCAATCAACTGGCGCGTCGCAATTGCCTGTACCCCAAATATGAAATTGACAGTCAAAGGCCTCTTGTGATAAGTTAGGCCCGCCTTCACTTAGGGCAGGCACCACTGCAACCGGGGCCCCTTAGGCCTGCCGAGGACCCAGATCCTCGCATTCCCTCCTCCTTTACTTCGTTAGTCCTTTAAGAAGTCTCTTAGTCTGCAGGCATCTTTCCTTTCAGTTCTCTTTCATAGCCCGCTATCACTTGAGGTGCTGTTCTCAGAAGTTCTTCTCGTGTGAACCAGCGATCTTCCTTGGGATCCAGATGATGTCTGAAACTCACACGATACTGCATTCTCGGTTTAGAAGGGCGCCCTCTGCCTGATGGTCGAGGAACAGGCATTACTCGATGCTCCACGATCTGGTCGATGTCCACCTCGCCATCCATGGTTGGGGGCAGCATTGACCTCCTTGAGGGAAACTGGTCAGTAGCAGCAAATGGTGCCAACTTAGAGGCATGGAACATAGGGTAAGTGTGTAAGTGGGCAAGAATACGAATCACGTATGAAAACCCATCGGTTGATCCCCTCCAATGTCTAAGATCTCCCAGGGACCAAAGTACTGTGGCATCAGTTTTCGTGATATCCCCATCTCTTGACCTAGTTCAGATGACTTTACCCAGACTCTATCACCTACCTGAAAGTTAGAGGGTCGCTTATGTTTATTCTCAGATGCGATCATAGCATCCTGAGACTTCCTAATATGTTCAACGGCCTGCTGCAGCATCTGTTCATATTTGACAGCAAAGTCTATGCTGCCAGGTGCTGCAGTGGGTTGTCTTTCTGGTAGCAGAAAGTCAAGTGCAGTTCTGGGCTTCCAACCAAGATGTAACTGGTTGGGAGTCATACCGGTAGTACTGTGCACAACATTGTTGTACAGGCTGGCGACAGAAGTAACTTCTCGTCCCAGTCATCCTGACTTGGCTTAATATAATGTCGAAGCAGGTGTTGTACTACCCGGTTCATCTGTTCTGCCTGCCATTGGACTCAGGGTGATTCCCTGAGGTCATTTGGAGTTTTGTGCCCATCTGTTCAGCAGTCGACTGCCACAGCTCACTTGTGAATCTCACATCCCTATCACTAACGATAGACGTAGGCAAACCGAAATCATGTACCCAATTATTCATAAACAGTTTGATGACCTAATCAGTTTTAACCGTTTTTGGCATAGCGATCAGTCTTGCATACTTGGTAAAGCGGTCCACTATTACGAAGATGTGCCTTTTGACGGACTTACTGGTCACAAGAGTATCCATGAAGTCCATGGACACACTCTGACCAGGTCCTTCAGGAATCGGCAAGGGCTTGATGAGCCCAAGTGGTGCCTGCGTCCTAGGTTTGTCCCTTTGGCAAACCTGGCAGGTTTCAACATACCTTTTTGCATCTTGCATCATGGTGGGCCACCAGAACTTCTGTACTAGGTTAGCTGAAGTCTTTTTGTAGCCAAAATGACCCGTTGCATCATGACATTCTCCTAAAAATAAACTACACAAAGAACACACAATTTTTTATTCCCTGCCTTTTCAAGAAACAGCAAGTCGTTTACCATCGTAAATTCGTCCAAAGTTTTTTTGTCCTTTGCTTGGAATCTACGAATGATCTCATATATAACTGGATCTTGCTGATATGCATCTACCAATGATCGAGTCAAGTCGCTAGATAAGTCAAATTCAGTCACTAGTGCGCCCAGATAATCTGCCCGACGAGATAACGCGTCAGCCACCTTGTTGTACTCTCCCTTGATGGGATCAAGTTGATAGTCATACGTGTCTATCACTTGAATCCACCGCTTGAGTGCGTCAGAGAGGACTTGCTGTGTCTTAATCCAGCGCAAGGTTTCATGGTCAGATCTCACATAGAAGAATTTGCCAAGGAGATAGTGTCTCCAATGTACCAGCGCTCTATACAGGGCATAGAGCTCACGCTCATAAGTGGACTTAGCTAGTTTTTGAGATGGCATCCATTTACTCATATACTCGATAGGTCTCAACTTAGGCCCCTCATTTTGCGCAAGGACCGCACCTATACCATATTGGTTGGTGTCTGTGGTCACGACAAATGGCTTATCAGGATCCAAAAGTTTAAGAACCTCATAGTGTGTCAGGGCATACTTCAGTTTCCTGAAGGCTGCCTCACACTCTTCAGTCCACTCCCAAGGGGTGTCCAGACGAGTTAGATCCATTAATGGGGAAACTATAATACTATAGTTCTTCATAAAACGGACGATAGTAGCCCATCATCCCCAAAAACGATCTGACCTCAGTAACAGTCCGAGGTCTGGGCCAGTCATAAATGCTGGTCACCTTGGCATCATCCGGCCTCAGTCCATCTGCTGAGATTTCATGACCCAAGTACAAGATCTTGGTGCGACCAAACTCGCATTTTTCCAAGTTAACCTTGTACTGGTGCTGTCTTAGGAGACCTAACACTGTTTTCAAGTGCTCAGCGTGCTCCTCTACAGCCCTACTAAAGATGAGAATATCGTCGAGGTACACGACGATAAACTTGTCTAAGTAGTCATGAAAAATCTTGTTCATCGCGTGCTGGAACGTACCAGGTGCATTGCATAGTCCAAAGGGCATCACCACAAACTCGTACAGACCGTACCTGGTCTAAAATGCGGTTTTGTGCTGATCCTCAGGCCTAATGGCAATTTGATGGTATCCGGACTTCAAATTTATCTTGGTGAAGTACCGGCATCCCTGCACTCTATCCAAGAGGTCGTCGATGCGGGGTAGGGGCTCCGCGTTCTTAACAGTGATGCCATTGAGGCCCCTATAGTCAATGCACATCCTCAAGGTACCTCCCTTCTTCGGTACGAATAGGACTGGAGCGCCGTAAGGGGAGGTACTAGGCTGAATCCATCCCTTCTCAGTGAGCTCCTTGAGCTGGTGGCGAAGCTCATCTAACTCCGCAGGAGACATCCTATAGATTCGTCCTCTAGGCACCTTACTACCTGGGACAACCTCTATTGCATGAACAACCTCCCTTTCTACCACGCCTGTGGGCTCCTCAAAAAGGTCGGAATATTGTGCGACGACTGATTCTATCTCTGGGGTTGATTTAACAGCCTCCCCTTTTTCAGAGACAAAGACTAAGTACATGCCCTCCTGGCGATTCTGCTTATAATAGTTATAGAAAGATGATGCACACATGCACCCGTAGTTTTCTATTAGACTGCTGGCTTTGTACTTCTGCAATCTAACAGTTCTACCATTGGGCAATTTGTGGATCAACACCTTCCTATCCCAGTCAAACTGAGGTTGCGCGACCTCGAGGTACTACATGCCTAAGAGCATATCAAAAGGCAGTTCGTCGCTAACCACGAAGGAAATTTTATGGCTCACTTTCCCTCCTTCGTAGGAGAAGGTACATACTACGTCCTTGACATAGTCTTTTACCAACATTTGGTGTTTGTTGGCCAGCGTAGAAGCTACAGTTCTGCTAAGCCGCTGCACTTGGTCCCCTAAGCGCAGTCTATCCACACAAGCACGACTGATGAAGTTCCGTGTAGAGCCTATGTCTGCGAAGGCGCCAACCTTGCGGCCACCTACATCAACCTCTACCACGAAATGTTCACATTTTGGACCTCTACTAATCATCGCCCAAGAGTCCCTGGGGTCCTTCCCTGACCACTCAATCTCTAACTATTCTAGGGCCTCAGACACATATCTCGAACAGAGCGTCGGTGGGTCTGAATGTGTTTGCCGGGCGATACGTGGGTCAGTAGCCTTGGCCAACGCCTGAAGTGGGGAAGGCAACGTTACCACTTCAACGCGAGTAAGGGCAGCTAAGACTCCTACTGGCCCGAGGTGTTTCCCTGCGAAGTGCTCGCAGAAGCACCGCCAGAGTTCGAAGAAAGTCCCACCACCGTTGGTGAGGCTACCCTCGTCGTGACCTTCTTGCCTCGACACATTCTAGACGTGTGGCCATAGTTGCCACAATTCATACACGTGCCCCTAGCAACTCGGTCCCTCCACACCTCGTACTCTAAACCAAGTTTTACCCATGCGGGTGTTCCTTGGTCGCCCTGACCCGTGGACCGTACTACCTTCTTTTTCTCAGTCCCCCTAGCCTTTTCCTTGATGGGTGCCGCTACTCCCCCATCCGAAGTCTCATTAGCCCCATCATGCTCTGTCTCCTCCCCAAGGTCTGGGAAGTCGTCAATTTCTGTCGCCTGACCATCGTGGTCGACGAACATTAGTTGACCTTTCTTCTTCCAGTCTTGGGGTAGTCTCTTCTTCCTACCACCGCCCTGACTTTGATGCGCGGATCCCGACTTAGCCTCTATGTCTAAGGCTTTCTTGCTGAAAGAGGCGAAGTTGTGCTGATCGACATAAGCCTCATCTACCAGCTTTGTCCATACCTCTGAAGGCAGACATCTAAGGTAATCCGTGAGGAGTACCTGCTGGTCGTAGCGCACACCAGGTACCACAAGCAGATGTTCTACACTGTCCGTCAACTCTCTAACATTCTTGTACCGTCTGGCACAAAGACTGTTGATAGCGTCAGTGGCCTTTTGAGCCCCTTGCGGGTCATGCCACCTGTTGTACACGAACTGTACGAACTGTTCCAATGTCTGGGCCTGGGCCCAGGCATCGAAGTTCTGACCGTAGCCCTGCTGCTGCACTAGGCCATTCAACCAACGGGCTGCTGACCCCTCTAAAAAGGAGGCAGCCACAACAACTTCCTGCTCTGGTCTGGTAAGCTTATGCCTCACATAAGTAGACACCGTCCTTACCTAGGTATCCAAATCCTCGTCCTTCATCCTATCATCGGAGAAGGGCTTAGGACTCAACAAGGGTATTTTGGGCATCCACTGCATAGGCTGCATGGGCCCAGGGGCTTGTTGTAGTGGCTGCATAGCCACCGAAACAGGCTGTTGCACACTAACCTCGGCCTGACTTGACAGTGGGACTGTAGTAACCACTGTTGTCGATGGTACGACTGAGACTCTCTGAACCGGACCACTAGTTGCTACTAAACCACCTAGAGGGGGCATGCCAAACATAGGTGAAAACGGAGGCCCTACAGGTGGCAGCGTCATTGATGGACCTGCACCTGAAGGGGGAACTACAGCATACTAAGGCTGCCTCATCATGGGACGAGGAGCCCGTAGTGCAGCCAGAATCTCTTTCTGGCCTGCCATTAGTTCAGCCAACACTTCCTGCTGGACAGCCTGCGCTTCCGCCACACAAAGAAGCGAGTTACGCAGCGCTCGTATCGCAGGGTCAAGCGTTGACTCATCTAATGCTTCCAGTCTGCCTAACTCATCTCTTCTACTACCTAGTCCAGCTTTCCTCATGATCGCTCTCCTTCTCCTCTCTGCTGCCTCATCCAATTGCCGTTGTAACTCATCCTGAAGTTCTTCTGCTTGAAGGATTTCATAATCCTCCGGAGTGAGTTGAGTCTGCTGGCTGACTCGCAAGCCAACACTCTGGCTAATGGACCCTTGAGAACCACTCTGACTAACTCTTGACGAAGTGGCTTGTGAAGAAGCGTGCGACATGGTAGAGGATGTGGCCATGGTTGTACCGGTGCTAGCTGAAATCCTAGACCTGGCACTATCCTCAGCTACCCTCGCTCTCCTTGCCGCTGCTCTCTCTCTAGCCTCTCTCCTCAGTCTCCTCTCGTCTCCTGGACCTACCTCTAGGAAAGTCAAAGGTCGACTGCGAGCAGTTCCACGAGTAGTCTTACCGTCGTCCACTAACAACTCCTCCTCACTAGTGCTTGCATCACTCATGAGCTACAGTATGTGTGATCTAAACTAGAATCCACACTGAATCCTACCTTAGCCTGACACACAACCGATTACGAATCACAACTAATTTCGGTCGGACTGAACAGAAACAGTTAGGTGATATAGTAATAACTAATGTCAGATCCTACAGGAAATATCATATCTATTTTTAGATTACCCTAGAACAGATTGCAATGCAGCAAAGAACTAATCTGTCTGCAGCTGTCTATGTTGTTAGTCAAGTCTGTAACAACTAGATAATCATCAAAAATAAAAATAACATCTCCTGTTGGAGATGTATGCTGAATGGCAGATTGTCTAGTTATTGCCATTGTGAACAGTTACCGGAATCCCCCCTCCCCCTGTATCCTTCTTGAGTTGTCTCTTTGTGTCGACG